TGAAGATACTGCATTACCCAATTCCTCCTGGAGAATTTGAGGTGCACTGAGCCTTTGCTCAGGGGAGTATGTTTGGCTGACTTGGCTTGCTTCTGTTCCGCCCCCCTTTTTAATATATATTCAACTTGTATCCAAAACATCATTTTAATGTTTTTGCATTTTTAGAGATGGATATTTCTAGTTGCTTGATCAAACCTGTAGTAGCTTGATTACATAAATTAGAAGGCTAATTCAAACAGATTCAATGTTACACTGTAAAATATGGAATGTGGTTTTACTGAGTAATCAACAGAATTTTTCTTCATTTATGCAAACCTTGTTCCAACAAATAGAGATTGTAATGCAGTTACATAGAATGCTGCTACTCCCATGGTTCCAATACTTCCCTCTGTGTGTCATACTCAAAGACAGTCATGCTGATAGATTGCCACATCACAATGTGAGTAGTTGACAAAAGGAGACTGATCATGTAAACAAGAGTGGTTACTAACATATTCCCAGCAGCAAAAAAGCATAATGTTTTGTTGCATTACATCTTTCAGGGATAGCAGGCTAATGATTTATGTGCTGAATATTGTCCCTTTTAAACAAAACAATAAACAATCAGAGCATTACACCCCATTCTCCCTAAGGCAATGCTAGGGAATGTGACATATGGGTATGAGGGTACCATATAAAGCATAGCATAATAGTAACAGCGCCCATCCCCTGAGCAGTAACCAAGTCAACCATACTCTGAACCACACAGGAGGCAATTCATGAAAAAATAATAAAAAGAAAGAGGTCATAATTTAAAAAACTCTAGTCTCACGGTATTAAATGATATACAAACTGAACCAAGTTCATTATATTATGCTTTTCCTATAGTGATCAGAAAACTACAAAACTACACATAAAATGGCATTAACAACTGCATATATATCTTTTGCATCTTGTATAAAAATAAATCGTTAAGTGTACACACACACACACACACACACACACACACACATATATATATATATAACATATATATTATACATATATATACATATATATATATATATACATATATATATATATATATATACAATATCAAATAATATACATATATATATATATATACATATAAATATATATAAAAAATACATATACATAATATAATATATATACACACATATATATATATATACATATATATATATACATATATACTATTATATAACTACAATATATATGTATATATATAATACATATATATGTATATATATATATACATATATATATATGTGTATATATATATTATAATATATATATACTATTATATATATATGATATATAATAACTATATACTATTATATATATATACATATATATATATATATATATATAATATAATATCATATTATATATAATAATACATATATATATAATACATATATAATACATATATATAATATATATAATATGTATTATATATATAGATATATACATATATATAATACATATATAATACAATATATACATATTATATATAGATATATTATACAATATATATAATAAAATTATAATA